AAGTTTATAGCACACACCTAACTTCACTGTAACTGAACATGGGACTCTTGTAGCCCACATTATACTGAAGGTAACAAGAAATTACCTCACGTAGTAGAAATGAGCTGCACAAACACAGATGAACACTACAGAGTAGTTAATCTACTGTAAACTCACACCCTATATTACCTGGCAATAACTTACTTTTGAATTCATTCTTTAAGTAATAAAATGCCTTATTAATGTCTTTATGAACCCCCTCCTTTCAAACCTTTAATTTTACACTGGATCATGTACATTCTGTGCTATGTATCTTCAGTTATCCCCTTGCTATATAGCAAATTTACTTTTTTTTGTTTGTTTTTGGACTTTTTTTTGATCTGTAATAAAACTTTATCTTCCTACAGACACCTGTCCATCTTAACAGCATTTGATAAAAGCTTGTCAAAAACCTTTTGGAAGTTTGAATATAAACAAGCTAAACTGAGGGCTGTTTTTCTCAGTTCAAAGAACTCTAATAGATGGGCATAATAAATTACTCACTTATGGCCATTGGAGATCAGATACCTCCTCATTAGCCTACTCAGCCTCTGCCTTACCAGGTTAATGCTGGACCCTCAAAGGCACATTTACCACGGAGATCTCTGTTGCTTGCTCCCAGACACATGGGGCAGCTAATGATAGGCACACCTCTCTATTTTGGATGTAGAGTACTATAGTTAGATTGCACATACTGCAAAAATCAGCCAGTGTCTGAAATAGTATGGATAGTGGTACCTAACTCCCACTGCTGTCATAATCTCAAAATGAGCTTTATTATTAGAAAAAAAATAGAAATAGTAGAAAAACACAAGTTAATGAAAGGCAAAATGTTCCCACATGCTTTGTGTGACTGTCTGTGAGGACTGAAAACTGAGCACAACAGAACAAACCTGCACAGCAGTAAGGCTTTACATTTCTACAGCTCCATTTCTCATGTGCTAAGAATTGTATATGTTGAGTGTCAGTGTGAAGTTCCTACCTCACCTTCCAGAAGTGAATGGAAAGGACTGACAAGACAGAAAGCCAATGTAAATACAAAAATCTTGTTTTCTTCAGAGAACAGATCTTAAACATCTTTTTCAGAGTTCATCAGATACTTAAAATTTTCCCTTCAGACATTAGTATTTTAGTAGTAAATAATAAAGTAGTATCAATAATATCAACCAAATTATACCAAAAATAGCTTAATAATAAATTAATTTAATACAGAGGCTAGAAAACAAGAGTGTAAATAGGAACATTAAACAGGTGCTCTGGGCATGGGTAGAAAACAGTGAAGAACAGCAGGAACTGGAGAGGGACAGAGGTGGATTCCCAGCCAGAATGACAACACCATTCCAAGCACAGCTGCTGAACCTAAGAACCCCTGAGACCCACACTACTGTAAGGATACCAGAAGCAATTCTCACAAGAACAGGAATGGAAAATAAGCTTCCCAGCTGCTCTTGGCAGGAGGTGTGCATTCAGAGCACCCCAGCCTACAAGACACAGCTTGGTGCAATGCAGGGAACCAATGCATTCAACTCTCACATAGAAATTCTTGCCCTTGGGGGAAAAAATCCCAAAACACACAAACCAAAAACCCCCACAAAAATACAGTCCACAGCAACACCACAATTTTCAAGTCACTCTTTCATATACCCCCTCGAAATCAATGGTCCTAATCTTATCATGAAACATAATTAAATCCATATATCAAGTCCTTTTCATACCAGCCAGGTACTTTCCAACAAGGTAGACTAACTCCAAGTTTCTGGAATGGCTTTAAACAATTATACTATTTTTATTATTAGATAAGTAGTGTTCTAATCTTCATGCCAATTTATTTAAGACTGCTTTTTTAAAAATACTATGATATTTCAAGTGGCTTAAACACAGAAGCAAAAAGGGGAAAACAACAATTCAGAGTTTCCTGTCTAGAAATGTATAAGAAAGTAGTGCCCTGTTTAATTAATTGACCCTGATATGAGCCCTTTCTCTCCTCTCCGTTTTCCATCCCTTAATTCTCCTGTCCTAAAGCCATCAGAGTTTCATAACCCAGAACCCTCAAACACTCCCATCTCAAGCCTTTCTCCCTTTCATCTCATACCAATAGTCTTTAACTTCCCAGTTCTCTCCAGGTGTTTACTAAATCCTCTCCCACATATTTCCCTGTCTCATCTGTCTCTGCCTTCCTTCTTCCTGGTTCAGGCCAAATCCTGGTCTGCCCAAATCTAAAACCATGCAGCACTCCCAGGTAGCTTCAACAGTACCTATTCCTCTGCAAATCACTTTTCAAACTGCCAGCCTACTCTGCAATTCCTGCAATTCTCTTTATTCAATGCCCCTGCTTCCAATCCACATCCTAGCAGTTCAAAGTCAGATATCCTGCTTCCAGGTCCCTCAAGAATAAGCCCAACCACTGCTGCCCTATTATTATGTTTTATTGTATGCTGATACCTCTTACTGCCATTGTTGTCATGGCAGCCCTGTGTTCTCACAAAATCCCTGGGCCCTTCTTGCAAGACAGGATTTAAAATCCAGGCTGGATCAAAAAATAATCACAATCACAATGACTAATGATTGACAGAAGAGAAAAATGCGTCCATGTGAAAGGAAAAAAAAAGCATAAGTAGTAACTGCATGCTTTAGTTATGATAGATACACTCTGCTTTGCAGCTACTTCTGAACCTCCCCAAACATCACTGTTTCAAGTGTGCTTAAAAATAATGGTCTCCGCTTAGAAATTGCTATGTGCCATAAATTCACTACTGAAGAAACAGATTGCCCTAAGAACTGTTCTCAACTAAATCCAAATTATCATATGAAGAAAATTTCAGATTCAGATTTCATCTCCTCAAAGGCATTATTTAAAAAACATGGCCAGAAAAATCACAGTAGAGAGCAGGTGTCTAGAACTGAATGGACACAGGCTCAGGAAGGAAACTCTGTCAGATAGAACTCCAGCTCTCAACTTCTCATTGGCTTATGAATTCCTTTCTACACTGATCTTTTTCATGATGACAGAAGATGACAAAGACATAACCCAACATGTTTCTATATTTCACTACTGAAACAAAGCCTGTGCAAACACTGCATAGTTGAATACAAAATATACCAGAGTATATTTTGAGAAAATCAGTAGAGTCTGCTAGGAGCTGAGTGTCTGTTGTTTGCTTGTTGCAAAGCAAATTAGCACCTTCATTTTCCTACTACCCAATTCCCACCTCTTCTTTGGGAAAGCATCTTGGAAAAACCCCGAAGCAAAAGCAATGCAGACATATTTACTGCAGCCAATACATTTCCAGGCTACCCATGCACTTCATAGCCACTTTCACTGCTGTGTATACCTACACAGACTGACTGCTGGCTAAACAGGTTTCAGCTGCCACCAAAGTATGCTCCTTTGCTACCCAACCCAGCTGTGCTCAGGAAACTGCACTGGCCTTCCCAGGCAGATCTTTCTGAATTCCCCTCTTAACTCCCCCTATTATACTTCCTAATTTATCTAGGAGTAACTCGCCATGGTAGGAATACAGAAGTTTAAAAATAATTTAATTTTTGCAGCTACATAAATGGCTGCAAGAAGACACACTGGGTTCTCTAGACAAACCTAACAAACCACAGCAGTTGAAACAGAATGGGTAATGAATGATTTTAGGGAAAAAAGTTTACGAACTTTTTTCTCAAAGTTCGTTTCTGAAAAGACTGAAATGAAATAGATACATTTCAATTTTTTTCCCAAGTATTTGTTTAGATAGTAACTTTTATCCATTGAGGCAATTTCCATCATATATTTAGCTTTCAACAAATCAGCATTTCCTGAACGAAAATATTTCACTATCAAAGTTTTTGAACAGTTTTACTGACGACATTTCACTTAAAACCAGCTGAGAACCAGACTGATAGCTCTGGGTTTTACTAGACCAGACAATAAGAACAAATTGTCTAAATAGGATCTGGCCTTATGCAAGACCAGGCCTCAGAATCACTAGCACAGCCAGTGCTTACATTCTCTCCTGAGTTCATCAACAAAAAGGGACTTTATTATTTGACACATCCTTTAAAAATTGAAGGCCTATCTGCAAAGCAAAATCTATTCAGCTTCCTAAAGTTATAAATGTCCCCCACATTTTGAAATATATTGCTAATAGCATAACTAGTTATTCAAAATCCAAACATAATAATAAAATTGAAAGAAGCAAAGAGAAGCGAATACCAGCAGCTGTTGCAACTATTAAACATGCCTCAGAAAACTCAGCAAAATATAAACATTAAAACAGTAATTCCAAAATAGAAGAATCAAACTAAGACATTCAAATCGTTTGTCTCCAGCAAGTAAAGAGAAAAAAAATTACTGTCCAAGGCAAAGTGCCTATGTTAGAAAATCTGCAGTTGGCAGCTTATTTAACTGAGAAGTGCTCAACTTGAACACCTTTGATGAGTTCAACTATAGCATATTATAAAGCAAAAAAATTGTTTCTGTGTAGCCATTTAGGACGTAATTCAACATGAACTACGAAACCAAGTGGAATTCTACCAGAACTCAATCATGTATCACCATGTTTGACAAAAGCATTATCATTCCCCATGCTAGTAAGTATTTCATCCTGTCTTTAGAGTGTTATTGGAATACAGAATTTACATCAGAACCAATTCTTCAGACTTTCATTGTCAGCACTATGGAGGAACAAGGAAGCAAATTGCACGGAATCACAAACCGGAGAAGACTTTGGTTTATTGCCTAGTAAGACAAAGGATGGATTCCATTTTTTCTAACATATTTTCTAATCCTCTGCCTTTTCTCCTATAAAAAGACTTCAATACATTCTTGCCAACTCACAGAAAATCATAATTTTGGTGACTGTAAACACTTTGAAAAACAGGACAGAGATGAATTCTCATGAGAGCTACTGCTTGCAGCTATCTCAGCCCAGCCCAGCGCTCACACAAAGGCTGTAACACTTCTCCCTTGCACAGGGACTCCAGTGCTTACATACCTGCTGTGTAACGAGACTGACGTGGCTTGGTGGGGAATGCTGGCAGGCTGCTTGCTTTTCTGCCAGCTGCTGTGGTTCTGCTGCTGCCACAGTGGGCCCATGACGCTTGGCCTGGGCAGTGTGTTCTGCATCTTTGTGCATCCTGGCTGAGCCCACACATGGCCCGCTGGAACTGCGATGGAGACCTACCAAACAAACATTTCAATGTGCTTCGTGAGCCAGGCGTCACACCCGCAGCCTGCTGATCACAGACACACAAAAGCAGGCAAGACATCAGGAAGAATACAGAATACACCTGTTCTGCATGGGTATTGCCCAAATGAACAAGTAGCAATTCCAAACCTGTATTCTCTTTACTACAACGTATCTAATGGCACCCAATTCCAGAGACATTGGCAGCTGTTACCCAAGCTAAATCTGTAAAGTTTTTCCTTAAAAACAAATGAGTCTCTAAGTAAGCTACTCAGTTGGGAAGTAAGACATTTTAGTGCTTGAGAGGTTGTCAATATATATACAGCAACCCTAGCAAACATGTGCTGACCCTGACACACAACCTAGAACAGATAAATACCATCAAAATACAAAAAAACCTTAGTTTTATCAGGATCACAGCTGTTAGCCTGTATGTGGTTCCCAAAAGTTTCCAAATAGATTACAGTCTGCATGCAAATGCCTACAATTTCTACTATGCTTCAGGTTCTTTACACTTTAAAGCTGCATTGCTTAAATGAGTTGACGACAGCATAACAGATCTCTAAATCTTGGTTTTGGGATACCCTTGGATATGGCAGTGCTAAAACACCCTAGAGAATGAGATATTGTAATGATTCATTCAGATCCTTCTTTTCTGGAGGTCTTGACACATCTTCAAGTATTCAACACTTATGAGGTTTCATTATAAGATTTCTACGCTTGATAGACAACCAGAGAACTAAGAACAGCACACAGACTGAGACAGGACTTCTGCTAATGAAAACAACATTAAACCCACTAAAGATACATGAGATTAGTAACATAATAAAGAAAATATACAATACTTAGTTTCACAGCTCTTTTTGAACAAGTTCAAAGGCTAAGTTCAAAGCACAAGGCTGAGGGGAGACCTTATCACTACAACTACCAGAGAAGAGGTTTTTGTGAGGTAAGGATCAGCCTCCTTTCCCAAATAGCAAAAAACAGGACAAGAGGAGATGGCCTCAAGTTATACCAGGGAAGACTTAGACTGAATATTAGGAAAAATTTCTCCACCACAAGGGCTGTCAAGCATTGGAACAGGCTGTGTCACAAAAACATTTAAAAGACATGCAGTAAATGCAGCTCTTAGGGACCTGGTTAATGCTGGACTTGGTAGTATTAATTCTTAGACTTGGCGATCTGAAAGGTCTTTTTCAAACCAAATGATTCTATGATTGCCTGTTCATTTGGTCAATAAAAGGGCACCTGCCTAACAAGGGCTGCATCCTGTGCTCCTGCTTTCTGTAAGAAATTTAGCACCATCTAACAAGACTCAATTCTGGAAATGTAAAATTTCTACCTACTCCACAATAGAAATTATGCAGACTGTACTGAACAAGCGGTTTATTATGAATCCCTGAACACTCACCTACTTTTGCAGAGGGTATTCGGGACAATCTTTGGCTGTAGATCTGAACAGCTCTCTGAAAAGATGAGAATGGGCCGATGGTGTAGTTACCAGCACGACGATGTAACCCTGCAAGGCTACAAGTCTCACTGGACACGGGGTTTGTGAGGACAGAAGAGCTGTCAGGAGCTGTGCTCTGCAAGGAGTGTGCTGGGGGTGGGGACTGAATCAGTCTGGGACCAGCTGGAGGAGGCGGCAATGAAGGCTGACCAGACACCTTTGGATTTTCAGAGGCTGCAGGCTGAGATGGCATCCAAGAACTGGTACTTCTCTGGAACGTGGCACCAGGAACAGAGGAAGAAGCACCAGGAGGGCTGCACTGAGGTAATTTTGCTTCGGCATTTGAGGAGCAGGTGAGTCCTTCTGGAACTATACAAAGATAATGAACATTCTATACAAGGAAAATCTGCTTTTTAGGTCCTTTGATAATATCAATACATCAAATGCCTATATTCAGACCCACTGAAGTCAAAATAACCTCATTTACCATCAGAGACAAGAAGAGGCTCTACATGATAAATACCCTCCTTTCAAAGCCTACCATATCTAGACCAACCCCCCCAGGGTGGGGCAGCTAACTCTTTCCCACTACCTACTTTACAGCATCTTCTCTGGTGTTTAAAAGTACAAACTGGGCATTTGGATTTCTGTTTCAACCCAAAGGTTCCAACCTTTGTTTAAAACAGTATTAAAAACAGTATAGCATGCAGGCAATTTTTTTAAATGATTATTTAAGTCAGTTCACTTACAGCTTGATTTAGCTTCTTTGGGTTTACAGCCTTTTAGTGCTCCTTCTGCAGACGAATCTGCAACTGAACTTTTGGGGTGATCGCCTTTTATTTTTTTTACCATCTCAGGAGGCTCTAGAACAAAATCAAAGAGTTAGGAAGTAGAACAGAGCAAATCACTAGAACAATGCTGCAGAATTTACCCTTGTTGTGATTGACTTTATTGCTAATACTTCCTGTAGACCACACAACTTCATTGATGACAATTATGGTGTCACGTATAGTAGCATGGACTGCTAGATACATATGGCTGGCACACCCTTCCATGGAATGCCTAGTTAGGCCCAAATATACAGTCTCTGCCCTCCAATAGATACACTCACTGCAGGCAGCAAAATTTAAGATCTTGATTTCATTTATCCCTTACTTTGATTTCAGGATTCTCTGTTCATTTCAATTCTTAGTGCCTTCAGTTTGCACATTCTCATTTCAGTCATGAACTACGATATCTAGTTCCTTGTAAATACCAGTCTAAGTTCAACCCATTTCCCTTCAGGAAAAGAAGGCAGGAGTGAAGTTACTCTAGTCTTCACATAAGACTGAGCTAAAAAAGAAAAAAAAAACCCAAAAATATATGTAACCTCAGAAAACCTGAGTAATATTGTGCAGAGATTGTTCTCTTTTCATAGAATTAAGTTAAACTAGATTTGTCTGGGCAACATCATCTCAGAACCTGCCTGCAAAACTTACCACCTTGAGGCTGTTTCTCTAACTGATGACTGCTGTTGCTGTGTTTTGTGGCTGTGGATTTTGCTCCTAGGAAGACACTTGCTGATTTGTTTTTGTGTGTGTAAAATGTCAGTACTTCCTCCAGGTCACTTTCACTGCAATAAGGAGAGAAGAAGGAATCTAGAGTGAGGACACTAAGCTTTTCTGCACTCACTTAACAATCAAAGAAAATAAACGATCAGGAAACTGAAGAGTGGAGTGGCAAAAAAAAAAGAAGGTGACAGTAGACAAGCTAATGATTTGCTCAGTTCTACAGGGTAAGAGCAGAAGGAACACAACATGCCCTGGTTAAACCTGAGATTCCCACTAAAATACCATCTTCTTATGCAGTAGGAAATTCCAGGCATTCAAGAGCCCTCCCAGGATAAATAAAGAGCAAGTGAATATTTTGAACACAACTGGGAAGACTAGCTCAACATGAGAGATTCCATTCACAGTTAAATTTGACAATCTTCTGCAAGTGCTCTTTAGAATAAGCTATTTTCTCATGAGAGAACTCAGCTCAGCCTCTGTTTTGTAGTCACCATTAGTAGTTTCTGTTCAGCAGCAGAGGGAGAAGAGGAAAGAAGAAAAAAGCTTGTTAATTAGCAGGACAACCAGAACAGTCAATATTTTTGTGAAACTCACAAAACTTATATATGTTTCTGATTTTCCTTACAAGGACAAAGTGGGACAGCCCCAATATCCTAAACACCTATTGGTCCCAAACCAGTATCAGTTACTTGGACATGCTTATTAGAGCTTGTGCAAGATGTAGTTCTTGTTGTTTGGTATCTAACATGCTTTCCTTTTGGTTTACAGTGTTGTCTCAGCATCAGCAAGTAGCTGTATGGCATGGCAAACACCTAAGCAAGTAGGATAGTGGCAGCAACACTACAAGAAAATGTAACGCCTGAATATAAAGCAAGAGAGCAGCAGTTAGAGTCTTTCAAAATATCCTCTGAATATCACAATTTTAACTAGCATTAGCTAGCCTAAGCTTTGGTACAAACCATGTCTAAAGCTGATACACTGAAGTTTGCAGCATGTCCTGAAGATCCAAATTTCACTTTTCACTTTTTCTCCCAGAATAGAAACTACAAGAATGAGAAGTTGTGTGTGGAAAGGTGCTTTAAGCTTTCAAGGGCATTTACCAGTATGTATGTGATTTTATAATGCACTGAGAATGTTTCAAATCAATGGTCATAGCATACGTACAACTAAACACAATGACATCCATGTAATATCAAAGTTGGAGTATCAATGACACAAGCTCAATTAAGAAGCAACATTGATTAACCATTTTCTCCACTGCTGCATTCACTGTACTGCAGAATGATCACATGAAGTGGAAATCTATCCCCTTTGCTTGGCTACAAATGACCTGCTCACTGATTTAAGTTTGAAGCACCATGGCAAGTAGTGTCAGATATGAGAGTTTTCAAACACACCTCATACTTCAGAAGAAGCAGAAAGATCATCCCTAGAAATTGTCTGATCACTGGCAAACTATTCTATATCACTCAGTCAGACAACCCAGCAAAAATCTCCAGCCTCAGTCTAGACTGTGCATCAGGCCATGATGGCATGGAAGCTCTGTCCCATGCAGCTATAACTTAACATTTCTGTTGCAACAAGGAAAATCAGACAACCCAGCAAAAATCTCCAGCCCCAGTCTAGACTGTGCATCAGGCCATAATGGTATGGTAGCCAATAACATGAAAACAGAAGAATTTGAAGCTCTGTCCCATGCAGCTATAACTTAACCTTTCTGTTGCAACAAGGAAAACTACTTGCCTAGGACACAAGAGATATTTTATGGCCAGAATGTTCAGAGAACCAAAAGCTCAGGCCCACATAACATGCATTTCTAGCAAGAGCAGTAGATCCTATGGTGTATGGTAGTCAGGCATCTTTATTTGAAGATTTTTCTGCAATCCTGTAAATCTGTTGCAGTAATGACACCACCAATTATATCAGCAAAAGGTAAAATACTTGTTTTTATAAGAATGTATCAAGATAAGACTGTGAAACCACCTGAACTTACTTAGGATGCTTCAGCTACCACCCACTTCTAATCATTCACTATTAGTGCAGTGCTATTCAAACAGAAAAAGAAAAAAAACCAATAAGCAGTCATGCAAAAGAAGCGACCATCAATCTTCACTGAAAAAAAAAGATGGGCATTGAAAAGGCAAGTAAACTCTGCCCAGATATTGACAGGGGTTCTTGCCTATACAGGCATGTCATACATACATTGACCAAATAATGGAATCAAGAGGAATGGCTCTTTGTTCTCAAGAATCAGAGATTTTGAAAATATAATTGTGGTTCACTGAACAATTTCAGATCTCTCCATAGTCAGATAGTTGCAATACCATTGTTTTTCATACAATGCTACAAGCCCTAAGGAATACTTTATTATTTTCAAAATATCTTTCTTACCAGACTTTTTTAAGTTTAAAGAAGATAAAGTGCAGTGATAGAAAATGCTGCTTTTCCATTGTGAAAGTAACTGCTTGCACTGAACTGCCTCAGCAGGCCAAATAAGAGGCCTAACTCCCTTCCTTGTCTCAGAAAATCCAGACCTGGAAAATTCCTTAAGAGAGGCACCAAGCATGAGATTTGCTTCTGAGAGCAGAAACTTGAGTCAGAGCTGTAACAACTGTTCAACCACAGCAGCTCAATATCATCTGAGCAGTAGTTCTGGTTTCATTCTCCTTCTGAAGTACTGCCTTATTTAGTCCAGCATCACAGGAGAGGAAACCATTAACTCACCAGCAGCAGTTTGAAATTTACACAGGCCAGGGCAATCACTGCTGTCCTTTGGGAAGTTACTTAATGGTCAAAACATCTATTGTATGTTCTTCCCTATGCACCAGATGCTGATGTTACAAGTGTTTGGTTGCTGGAAAGACAAGAGAAGACAAGCTCTCTGTCCCTCAGCAGGAACAGGTCCTACAGTTAATAAAGGTACGTAGAGGCTTTAGATCAATCAAATCATCTTTAGAACAATGCTTCAAGGCTGAGAGATCATTTATCAAGGGGAATAAAATCTATTCCTACCTTGCTCTGGAAATGAAGTTCTGAAAATCTTCAGGATTCACTCCCACCTCCTCTTCCTGTTTCTTTTTTGATTGTTTCTGAACCATCAGCTCTGTTTCCTGTTAAGAAGCAGTATCAGTAAGTGTCTCTATGTTCCATGGCATAGCTGCAGCTCCCAGAATACAAAACCCAATTCCATAGGATCTAAGAAAAAAAGAACATTGCTACATGCAACAACATCAATAAATATGGCAAGTCCCAGAGACAGCACCCTAAGCATACACTAAAGTCCATTCCTCCACCTGACGCAATTGATTTGCTGAGAAAAGGTCAAGTCTTCAGAAATGTGTGCTGTTCCTTCAACTACACTCTTTGCTAAAACATAAGGAAGTATGGAAGGGAAAAAAAAAGTAATATCATTCTTTACAGATATTAGGTCACCTCTCCACTCTGTTGTTTCTGCCACAGAGCTCCTCCAAACAGCTTTTGTGTATTTGTCCCAGAAGTAAACAGACAGAAGGTGGGAAAAATTATAAAATAAATCTTAAAGAAACTAAAGGATGTCTGTAGGAAAATCAACAGATTTTCTACCATAAACCAGTAGTTCTCTTAAGTTAAATTTCTTTTGTAAAGCAGCAAATTGCTGAGGGCTTACACACATACCCAAACCCCACTGTTTCAGAAAAGACTAAGAAAGTAAAACAGTACAGCATACAACAAATGTGCTTACACACAAAAATATACTGGAATAAATGGTAAGCCTTTGCGAGTGAAAATGGGAGCAAGTTTTCAGATACAAACGGTCTATTTTACATCAGTAGAACAAGATGGCACTAGAGGTTGGATTGATACAAACATATTTGTTCATTAGAAAAACCTTCAGACTTGTCTGAAATACCAGTACCAGCTTAAAAGCTTTATCTGACCAGACTTGACCTCCACTTCATTTCTTCCTGCTGTTACCCTGACCATTCCCAGGAAAAGAGGGTCAGATATATCTTTTGAAACATAATTCAAGACAGGGAAGAAAAAGCCAGCTTGAGACATCTTTACCCTTTATTACTTAAGTAAATGTCTGGATAGCATATGATCGGTTTTATTTAATTTGCTGGAGCTGTATTCTTCTGTGTCATTATAGATGATATAAAATGGCAAGCAGGAGTCCCTATTAAATCTGGAGTTAACAGTCAATGAAACAAGTCTATATGTTGGAATCAGAAATCAAAAAACCTCACAGCCTAACAGTTTCTCAAAGACTTAAACACAGATGCCCTGAAACCTCAAGTGATATGTTCTCACTTGTTTTAACTGAGAAAATATGTTTATGCACTGATTTATTACCAATTACACAGCTTTATTTTGTGAATTTACTCAAGAGTTAGCAGAAAATTCTAATGTTTGAATACAATTTGAGTGGAAATTATATCCAAAGCAGCTGCATTCTTCACTCACCACAGAGCCACCCAAGTGCTTTGTGGTTCCTCCTAACAGAGTACTTCAGTGAGCATTAGGCATACAAGGCACTCCCTGAAACAGACTTGGTTCAATACCAACCTTGATTAGACAGATCAAGTTACCAGATGTCAGTTCTGACAAGGCAATGTAAGTGAACATCCTCTCCTAACGAGTAGAAGCTTGAAGGCCTCTAGCAGCTGCCTCTGAAAGCTGAATTTCAATTACCCTTGTTCTAACACTGAAAAAATGCTAGGGGGCAAAGGAAAGGGGAAGCTGTCCTTGCAGGACGAAGATTAGATTGAAACCACTAAGCTAAGAACAGCACCACCTACATCTAAAGATGTGAAAATTATTTAAATTAGGACCCACAACTCCTTTACACTTTGTGTGCAGAGTACATTACTATAGATATCTAGCAGTCCCTCAGTATACCAAGTAAATAGTAAAATACATATTCATGCTGTTCTGTATAAAACCAAATATATTTAAAGAAATCCCATAAAAATAAGAAGTGGGAAGAGGCATTACAAAGAATTAGAATCAAGGACAAGGCAAAGAAAAAGTACACTGCCAGTTAAATTCCACTTCATTTCAGCACTTGTTTTTATGCACATAATTACTGGCCTGCACATATTATGTAATAATATTGTTGTCTATCTGACAATTTCAACAGAGTACCATTGTTGGATGCACAGCTGCAAGCAGATCATGCAAATAGCAGAAGAGTGCCTTTAAACAGCCTTCACAAAACACTTTATAAGAAGAAAAGAGGAACCAACAAAATAATTTTAAAAACAAGTCACCTTGTTGTAGGAGATGATGAACTCTCCCAGCTGGCGAGCCAGGATGCGGCGCCGATCCGTCAGTCCAATGTGGCGGCTGGGGAGCAGCAGCCTCAGAGACGGACGCAGGTTGCTGGCAGCTCGCTTCAGAAAGCGGATGATGAGGTCCTGCAAGCAAGAGATGGAGTTAACAACGTGCTATCTGCAAGGTGTGGGGGGAAGAGAATAGAGATACTAGAGCAGCCAAGGACTGGCAGGAACTAAACACACTATCCCGTGAAAATGAGCTGAAACTGGCAGGCAAAATCGTTCTGCAATATGCACTTTTAATACAGCCCTATAAATCCAATGTAGGGGAGGAAAAACAGTGGTGTATCTTGCCTGAAGCGAGTCAGAATTCTAAACACTTAGAAAGCGTTTGTCTCAAAAGCATGGCAGATCAACCGATCAGCAAAATGCAGTGACACACCTGTGAAGTCCAGTACATTAGGAGAATGTTTCCAAAAACCCACCTGCAACATGCTAAGGAAGGCCTGTGGAAAAGTGCACTGACATAAAACTCTCTCAGCAGTACCACAGGAAAGGGGATCTTGGTCAGATATCTCCACTACAGTGGATAGCCCCATTTCATCATCTCTCATCTACATACTATTGCCACATCCTCTCCACAGCACTAGATGTCTACATCTACAGCCATGTAATTCCAGTCCCTCACCATGTCTGTTTGACCTCTGGTGAGGGAAACATACAGCAAGGCAGACCCTAAGACAAGATGCATCCTGTGGGTGTTTTGAACCCTTTCTGTCTCGCCTCTGGATTTGCTTTTGCTTAGGAGCTCTGCTAATGCATAAATGAGCAGCCTCACAGCCAATATTGGATTTCACAGCTCGCCTCTCACTGCCATTACTCCAGGCTGGTTTGATCTGTTATTTTAAACATTATTCTTTACAGTACAGCAGACAAAGTGACTCTCAAAAAGCCCGTTTTAATTTCCACTTGGAAAGAGCAGAGGTAACATTTTCCACTGAGTTGAATGATTATTCTTGACACACAATTTTATCTCTGAACTACATTCGCTGTTTCCCTGCAACACACACTCAGAATATGTGCAGAAAGCTCAAGAGCCTACTGTACAAAGCTCTTTTAAGAAGGTTTGTGAAAGGATCTGGGATTGCTGCGCTTTTTAAAATGCATACATATCAAACACAGGACTTCAAAATACTGCCTAGGAAAGTCCATCACTTTCATTTTCTTTTCTCCGTGGCTTTTACTTTAATTTCCTCTATCTAGAATGTAAATAAGATTCATTAACACAGATGTCTGGATATATTGCAACAGCACGTAAGAGAAAAAGCTTCAGTGGGTACCCGCTCCATTTGAGTAGATGAGTGCTTTGCTTAATCCAGCACAAACCAGATCCTGACAAGTACTCTTAAAGAATCTTCTAAAGAATTCAAGAGCAGGTAAGCTCAGGAATCAGTGAAGGAAAACCAACACAAGATCTGAGCAGCTTGAATGTCAACAGAGCCCAGTCATTAAGAGCTCCTATCATTGCTCTGAGGTCATTTAGCAGTCCTACCTCATCAGTCCATTAAAAATACAGCACTGGCACCTAGACAAAGATGAACAACCATCATCTCAGTTGGACTTCTGTACTTGCAAGGGTGAGAACTGACTTCAAAACTCTCAAGGTAGATTCCAACTTGGCTTCTCAGTCTGGCCAACACAAAGTTTCTTACCATTTGTTCATCCTCTTTGGCAGCCCAGGCAGGATTCTGGATCTGTTCGCCAGCCTCCTTCATCAGTCGGAGCTGAACGTGCCGTAGATAGGCAGAGAAAGCTGTACGAGCTTGTACTTTGCTGAGGACAAAAAGAATCAATCAGTTAACTTCAGAATAGGAATGGGAAGAGTTACAGCAGTCAGGCACAGCTTATGAACCAAAGTACAGTCAGCAAGGACTTCCTAAGTGCACTAATGCTGAGGCTCAAAGAGAGCGGGACCCCTTCACCCCATCAGCATTTTCAAGCAGACCTTCAGTTCACCAAGACAGGGTGATAGATATTGCAGGAGATACAAAAGACAGTAGATACTCTCTAAGATAAATTCTAAAAATAGAATGTTCTTCCTGCTTTTTACAGCCTTGGTTACTCCCCTCTAAAAGCCAGTAACATGGACATCAGCAAAACTGTATTTTTAAAACAAATTCAAGGCTCTACTGGGCCTCTGTTTTCACAAACATTTTGAACACCACAACAACAGACCATAAAATAAACAAAGGGCTTGGTACTGGTGCCAGAGTTACAACAAAGGCCCTGTAATTCCCAATGGAAATGAAAGAATTAAATCTGTGAAAGTGAGCTCTTCCCCTGCTAGCTCAGGATACAAGCCAAATTTCATTGAGCAAGGCACCACTGAGGAATGAAGGAACATCAGCAAAATCTGCTGTGCAGCTGGCTGAACATGTTGGGAAGCTGTAAGCATGAACTGAGGAGAGGACTGGGAGGGACACATATCTTCCCATTCCCTCACAATAGTAACCTCTTTAGTATAGGATCTGTTGTGAGAGAAATTGCTGAAAGCTCTGCCTAATTCTGTTCATTGTCCTCTTGGTCTAAACCTTATCCTCAAACATCCTGCTCTCCCAGCTTCTGCTCTTCCTCATAGTTTTCCCCACAGTTGCTAGAAGCTTTCTATAAGGATATAGCAGCTGACTGGCTTTAGTGCCAGCAACACATTTCCCTTTCTACCACAGGAAGTGTCCTAATATGTTCTGTAGAATTTTAAGTTTCATCTTAAACAAACTAAAGTTTTGAACCCATTACTTTCCTGAAATATTATTCCAGAACTTACTGTTCTAATAAATAGGAACCTCTTCTTACTACCAAGCCTAGCTTCACTTATGAGCAGCTTATAATTGGTTTTTCTTACATTGTCCTGTATCTTAAATATAATCCCTGATGGGTCTCCCACCTTGAATGTCTTGGTTAACAGAGTTACATCCTTTCATAGTTTTCATTTTATTAGTGTGATCTATCCACATCTGCCAGTGTCATCTTTTTCTAACAAAGCACCCACAATGGTGACATGATGAGACCAGCAGCTAACCTCCACCTGTGTTGCACTCAAAATTTGCCTTCCATGAATATGGGTGATACAATACTCCACATGAAGTCTCAGAAGTATGTCAAGTGATAAGCCCTGGAACACATTTGGTGTTGTCATGCATGCATGAGCTAGGACTTCACAAACTTCCTCTGATCAACCAGCATGCAAGATATTTTTCTTTACAATTAATTTCTAGTTGATGAACACCCAGCTGACAGAACTTCTGGTGTAAATTATTAGTTCTTATAAGCATCCCACTGTACTTTGTGCTACTGAATTTCATCCTAGTTATACTATTTATATCCTCAAGGTCATCCAGTTTCTCATATGTAGTCTGCTACTTTTTTCTCATGGTAATAACTCAAACATTTTTCATCAGCAAATTTCATTAGCATATTTGTACATTTTGTGTCATTCCTGAATTGATTATATAATCAGCTTCAGACTAATTCCTGAGGAACCTCACCATATTTTTTCTACTTGTATTCTGCTTCTTACAAATATTTTCAGGCACTTTTATGGTCCTTATGACTCCAGGTACACGAGTCCCTGAAATGCTATTAAAAACTGTGCAGCAATTAAGTCTTTCTGGTTGATAGGCCTGAAAATCTCAGGAACATTATGTTTCAGTGTTACACAGAAAACATACTATAGCAACACTGATAGAGATCAATGCATCCATTGAGGTTAAGAATTGAAGTTCAAATAAAATACATTGGAAATACCCATGTATCAGCTTAATCATCAACTTTTGATGCTTCTGAAAGGTCACACAGGGCCAAAGAGGGGCTAAGCCAACGAAAAGTGCACAAGAGTCTCAAGCTAACAGTAAGCTCTGTTAATAGCTATACTGCAGCAACTAAAACATGATGAAAATACCTGTTTCTGTCTTCCAGGAACTTCAGTGAACTCCAGAATGCACAGCAGGCCTTGTACCAGCTCTGAGCTCTGTATGCTACTAATCACTGCATCTACCTTTTCTTTCTACATGTGTGGAACATTGGGAGAACTCTGTGAATCCATGCTGAGAACTGATACTCTCTACATCAGGCCACCCTGTATCAGAAAAAGCTCTCACCTCAGCTTTTTAAGAGCTGTCAGGTTTGGTGTAGGTACAACTCAACATCTCATGACCAGTTCAATATTTGTGCTTGATAAGGAGCCCCCATTATCAACATCAGCACAATACAGGTCTTGGCTTGCACCTGATACTTCCATGACAAAAACTACAGAAGGCTTTTGTTTAACACTGCCTCTACTTTTGTGGGGGTGATATTGAAACCTGAGGCCTTAAATTCAGGAAAAAGTAATTTCCTTTTCATTTTACTTCCTTGAGAATGGCACAGTTGCAGGAACACGTTTCCTTTGATCATCATTTCTTCACCAGTAACACCCAATATGTGGAAGGCAGATATTTCCTCATCAGGCTGACTAAAGGAGAGAAGTCCTACCACTTAGAAAAACTGACTAGAATGGGCCTGGTTTCTCTTGGATGAAAATTTTATTACTTCAGCTCCTCTGCCTGTTGAGCCCATAAGCAAAGCTTACATCAATGACACACCAGATGGGGCCAAGCCCAGCACAACCTCAGAACAAGAGGTCACCACAAGCCTTATACCCTTCTGTGGGGAATCCCAGCAGTGCTGGGTGCTGAGCAAGACTCTGCCAGGAACATCAGACAGAGCTTATGTTCTCGGCAGGAGTCAGTTCTATATATAAGTGGATATAGACACAGCATTGCTATGTTTATCCTCAAAAGAGGTTTCAGAATCTTCCCTGTCACAGCAGCCAATGTCCTTGCCATAAATAGACATCAGAACAATCCCCAAAGCCATTGAATAATTCATAGCTTCTCCCAGAAACGAAACTAAGAAAGCAACAACAAGAAACATTTTCTCTACCTTTGGACATTTTTCACAGAAAACATAATGCTGCTTCTTGTCTAGAAGATGTAAATTCTTCCTACACAGATATATATGACCATCCTTTTTTTTGGTACTTGCTGTCCATCTGCAATTAGACAGTTTTGCAACCCGCATTCAAGGGGAGGATCATATTTCAAAATATCTGTTTAAAACCTTGCTTGGTGTTTTTCTATAGAATCTCCTCCAGCACATCTCTTTTTTCCAAGCAAGAGTCATGCATCAGAACACACTCTATTCCACACCGTCCTACTCAACAACATGCAATGAGATGTTTCGGTAATTTGTCACTCTCAAATTACTTCCTAATTTTGTTCTCAGAAGGCAATGACCCTGAGCAAAGACTACTACCAGAGGTAAAAATTCTATCATCCAAAATAAAAGTACAAAATGAGAAAACTAACTTTATGGAGAGACAGCACTGATACATTCCAATCCAACTCTTCCTGGATAATTTAGCATATGTTTATAACCACTTCTTGGCAAATGCAAAGAATGAGAAGAAAAAATTTAGAATTCAGTAGCAGGCAACCTCCATTAAGGCAAAGAGGCATTTTAGAAGTCTGAGCTGACAAAGAACAGCTTACATCATCAGATTAAAGAACAGAAATGGAAACCATAGGGTCATGATTTACACTGATCCAACAGGTCAGGCACTCAGGTAAACTGTCAGACCTTGCAATGGTCTCCCTTCTCTGCCAACAACATGTTAAGGCAGCCCACAGCTAGACAAAAATCAAGGCCCCTTTTCTAGGGTCTTCTTATCCCCTCACATTCATAACTTGCATCCTCCATATTTTAACTCATATTAGCTTCAAGTCAAAACTAGAGACAATACACAGTAAACTCCCACCTCAAGTTTCCTTGATTTTGAAGAATCTGAAGCAAGTTAAACTGAGATTCTGAGGCTTGCTTTTTCAGAAACAGCTTTTCTCCATCTCCAGTCTTCTTGTTGTGTTTTTTTGGTAACCTCTTCTTACAAGGAGTTGTCACAGAGTCAGAGAGCTTTGGCTTGCTTTTCACCTGGGTGTCCGAAAGAGAGCAAACACTTCTATCTACCTCTTCATCCTCATCCTCATCCAACTCCTCTTCCTCCTCACCTTCCATGTCTGACTTGAGGGACAGCTTTGTTGGTTCTGATGTGCCTGTAGTAGAGGAGAAATCACTTATGCTGATTTACAAAAAAAAAGTGGAGAGGAATGTTCTACTGCTTATACCCTTTGGTTTACCCCATAACTTTTCTGCTAGAAGGACAGAACACCATCTTAAGTATGACTGTTCTATATTATTCTGTCTTTCAGCTTATGCATCAGTTGAGAAGCCCATTTTCCCAGTATTACAGAACAGAGAAGAACACCAAGATTCTTGTTTTAACCTTACAAATGAAAAAAGAATGCCCACACAAAATCAAAGAGGCAAAGACATTTTCCTATCTTTTTATCCTGATTCTTACATACATACTGACATATCTACACCCATATTTGATATACATACACACACAAATTTTTGTACGTTGTGTGTCAAATAAAGCAAAGCTACAAAATCTAAACTTCCACATGTGCCAATAAAGATCATATACCTTAACACAGCAGCAAAAATCATCTTATAATATCCAATCTCTCCTACTGCAGTCAGTATCACACAGCTATTACAAAGAGTTTAAATAAAGGCAGGAACAGCCACTTGTGGGGATTATTCACCTCTGTTCCCCTTTAAGTTTTTCCAACACCAGCTTGGACAAAGATTTCTGCTCCCAACAGCTTAAGAGTCACAGCTGTCTAGGAGAATCAGTCAGAAAGGTCCCATCTTTCTCTGAAAAGCTGAAGAATTACAGAGGCACACATACTGTTAAATTCTTTGCCCAAAATGCAACAAACAAGCTCATCTCCAAGTAAGCACTGATTACCTTTAATCATATACATGGGGGTGTGGGAAGGTGGGAATGAAATTCAAGGCACTGAACAAGAAGCTCAGAACTAGATGAACTGAAAACTATAAACATTCGAAACTGAACAACCCCATTCACACACATTTCAAATGAAAAAGTCCTTTGGTTACTTTTTTTACCAGCTGCTTATTTAAAACCCTAGCCATGCATACCTGATGATCTTGTCTGTGCTGCTCCAACCTTGCCATGGTACCGCCGACGCTTCCGTAACTCCAGTGAAACGAGCTTCCTCTCATAAAAGAGAGCATGAGAGCCCACAGCTTCCATCCTCATATCCGGCCTTCCATGGAGACCTGCTCTGGGAAGCACAGTACACAGATATCCCTCAGTTTCCCTTTGCCTTTCTCTCCCTGATAACACACGAGACCTAGTTGATTAAACGTCAAGAAACATTCTTGCTGATACAAGCAAGAAATATTTACCATCAGTCTAACTCTGCTCTACTTAAGCCTGTAAATGTTTGAAGAGAGTCTTGCACATACTTCACAGAACATCACTCCTCAAACCCCAAGACACACTCACCTAGTGCCATGCTTTCATGACTGAGCAGCATCTGCCCATTATGCAAGAGCTCAGGGCACAATTAACAGAGGACATGGCAAGAATACAAAAGAACAAAGGGGAATGGAAAGAAAGCACATTGACATGAATCCAGTTGTCTGAACCATTTATGTAGACAGTTTGTTCTTCACTGATCAGATATAAGAATTTTAACATTATAAAAGTGGAAAATGCCAAACTTTCTACAAGTTCTACTCAAGTCAAGGGATGAGGAGCCCTGCCAGATTCCAGAAGGGAAACATACAAAAGTAATAGTTTTCTGCCAGTGCACAAAAATCCAGAAAAGTGCCCCCTATGATATTAGTGGAAACAAGCACAAAAAACACTTACTGTTTAATTTATCTTTTTAGTTCTAACAAAGTGAATATATGAGAAAATGAAATCCAAAACCCTTGTGCATTACAAGATCTTTTGAGAGAGCTCAATGATGAGGTTTATCAATATGGTAGGAATACCAAAGTGAGAAGCATATGAGGAGAAATTTTAAGGTCCAATGAAAACAGGAGCTCTCCACATGTGGGTATATTCTTTTTTCCCTGTATGTTTCTAAAATTATTTTTCATGGATTTCACTTAGAAAAGGTGTTGACTCACAACTTGAAAGATGAAGCTAAGGAAATCTAAATTTAGAATAAATCCTACAGAGCACAAATTAATTAATTAAGAAGCTATTTACCGGGATCTCCCAGTGATGAACTCTCTTTTCATCTTGCTCCTACAAAGAGAAAAAGGTCAAAAATTACTCTCCATACTGGATCAGCCTTGATTAAAAATCCTCTCTAGTCTTTCACATGTGCAATGGAAAGACCATATTTACAGAATTACTTGTGAGTTCTATCTTAAAGAAGAAAAAAAAAAGGCTCCAAAAGAGGAGCCATGAGCAGCTGTACTGCAACTGATGCTTGCATTTGTCTGCTTAAGCTGGAGAAGGCATTATTTAGAACTACTCTTTAGACACATCCCTGAACATACACAAAGAAAAAAAATGGTACAGCACTGATGCAGGAAGAGCTTCTGTAAATATTGTCTCCTTTCTCAGACACCTTGTCTTTACTTGGTAGTTACTTCCTAGTGGATCTCAAATTTGCACAAGAAGAGTTGCTGAGAAGGAAGGGCATTAAACACATAGTGAAAGGCACTGCATACAACTCAGTGGAAGCTCAGCTAATGGCATGAACTGTCCCAACCATCCAACCACAACCCAGAAAAAGAATTATCAAATCATGATTGCACAGGTCAAGACAGAGATACTAAACCGCTGGAGAAGTCAATTTCAGGGCTTACTGTACATGAAGACAAGTCTTAATGCAATTCCAAATTTGAAAAAAAAGGTAAGCCAGGACCACCTATAATGCCCTCACAGAGAAACCTAAGAGCTTGAAGTTTTTTCATGTCTATAGTAATATTAGTACTCCAATGATTCCCATGCCTTTTGAGTACTGTCCTTTTTGCCCTTGGTTTCAGAAGGGAAACACATATGTATGACCAACAATCAATGGCACACTAGAGAAGAGATGCACAATTATCACTACTCCTATAAATCTCAGATTTGTGTTTATAACATTGGATAAGTGAGGAATCAATCCTTTTTGTACTGTTTGTGCCCTTTACCTCTCTCCCAAACAGAGAAGCTTTCTACCTGTCCTTGAACAGATGTGTAGCCAGCATGTAGTTCATTGATGTCTTGTGCTCTAGAAAAGATCTAGGGGAAAAAAAAAGAAACAGGATTATCAAGACAGAGCTCAACTCAATGAAAGGCACTACAATGCAGAAATAAATGGCCTCTAAAAAATATCCTAGAAGTGGATTCAGTCAACATGCTACACCACAACAGAAAAGATGAAAGGACGAGAGCTATCATTTCTTAGCTGAAGTTCCTGGTGATGCAAGGGATGGAGAAAACATTACAGACTGGAAAGAATAAATGTAGAAAACTGTAATATAGTATAACTTTCAGAAGGAGTGAGTCCTATATGGCATTTATGGCCTAATGACAAGATACACAGTGTGCAGCTTGAGGATGTAAAAGTAGACAGAATAAAAGTGTCTTCCTTTCAGATTTTTGCTAACAGAAAAGCAATACCAGAAATAATGTCCAAGAGCTTTCCATTGGGTGCAGTTACGCAAAGCAGCAGTTGATAAAAACAAGGGATCAGAAAAAAGACCATTTAAGGCTGAAATAAACTTTGCCAAAACTTTTAATACATCTTTTTAAATGCCAAGATAGCTGATCTACACATATCTAACATAGAATATCCCTCGACACAGCGCATCACTGCCATCCTATCACATTTTTATTCTTACCCATAAAGGTCCCATGTTAATGGGGTAGGGAATATCCGGATGAAGCCTCCTCTCCGCTCATTTTCCTCTCTCACTCGCCGAAGAACTTTGATCTGATTAAGAAGAAAAATACAGAATAGCCAGCAAAATAGATAACAATGAAAAACAAACCTTCCAAAAATCTCTGAATTTCAGAAAACAAGACTATTCAGCCTGCAAATGTAGTGAGTAGATAATGACATCCTTAAGGAATTTTGTCTTGCATTTAAATTCTGAAGAAGTCTATCACTGCTTCAAGCACATCTCTGCTTGGCAAGGGCAATACCAGCAGTAAAACTTAAAATTCTGTTTCAAAAAATTACTCTTCTTCTGTCACATCTTTCATTTACATGGACTTACTATTTGTTGAGCAAATAACCCCACATACAAGCCAAGGTAAATAAAAGCTATTTAATAACTTCCTTACCTCCTCCATAGAGAGGCCTAGCATAGAGCTGCTGTGCCTTCCTGCTGCCTTTTCTCTGCCTAAGGGCATCGAGCTTTTAACTTCAGCATTGCTGGCAGACAGAGGACGGGTACGCTGTAGAGACAGTGGGAATCCAGATTTTTTTTTTCCTCCTCTCTCAATTTTCATATTAAAAAAAATTACATTCAAATTCCAGGACCCCATTCCCAGCAGGATCTACGCTTCAGAGCACTACAGCCAGAATTCACAATTCCACACCCCAGCTGTTGTATACAGAGTATACAGCCCAGACGTCACTAAGTGCGAGTACTCAGATTCTTAGATTTTAGCACAGGAGGCACAATTCAGGCATCACTGCCAGAATCTACACCCCTGGCCCCTTCTGGAAAAACAGAAGACATACCAAAAGCAGCAAAGTCAGAATGTCATACAGGAAAATCCTCACCCAAGGGGCACTGGAGTCAGCATTCACAAGACCCAAATACATTTGGATTCACACATCAATAGTACCAGAACCATGATCCTCTGTTCTAGCTGTGTTGCTGCACTAGAACAATAGGACTGTAATTCCCTGGCGAGATAAAAGTTGCAGGGAAAAGTTCACAACATGTTATTCTTTTGTTACTATACTGCTGAACTGTCAGCTTGCTATCTCTCACACTTAACAGATACATCCTGCAGATGTACACAGATACATCATACAAATTTGCATAAATATGCAATTTTAAAATAATATGCAATAATTTGCAGACAGTGTCACTAAGCTTATTTTTAATTGAAGGGCAATCCTGGCCAATTCTAGCAAAAGGACAGGAATTCAAAAGGTCTTCAAACGATCAGGATTACAAAATTTTAAAATCAAAGCAAGACAAATCTTTGAACTTTTTCTCAAGTACATTTAAGATGTTCTTAAGCTCAGTTTAGATAAACTACCTCTGCAAAAACAGCACTAAAAGAGTCTAGTGAGAAGATCTCAAGCTTTTTTACTAAATTCAAAGTTTCTTTTAGCTCTATACTGAGCAAAGAATGTGCAGAGAGCCTTAATCTAGAAAGAAGAGAAAAACATGACAGAAACCTTAAGGTGGATAAGTCCAGGGGAATATCCCATACTGCTCAGATACAAAAAAAAATCCATGGCAAGATCAGGATGCATCTTTATTTGTAAAGACTATGGGAATTGAATTCCATTCTCTCCGTTTCATTAGAAATGGCAAGCGGCTATTCAGAATCTGTAGATGAAGCAACAGCAAAAGCAACAGGCATTGCACTAGAATAGGTTATACTGCAGTGATTGGCACAGAAAAATCCAAAGATAAAACAGACATAGCAGGTACCACCTGTAATGATTCATTAAGCCTAACTAGAACTGATTAAAAAGAGAAAACAAGACAATCTGGATGAGAGGCAAGAGACACAAACATCTGTAGAAGAAATAAAAATACCAGCAATAAAACAGGTTTGCTTGAGGCTGTAGATGGCACTAAGTTGAAAGACTTAGTCTTTCTTTCTAAGCTTTCTTCCATTTCTAATCCAGTGCTTAAAAATGTTGCTTAACAACTTTCTCTAAAACCTGAGAGTAACCTTCTCTTAAAAACCATTTCCCATTTCCTGGCATTAGCATAACAATCCATCATCATGTGAGAACTGCTGTTCCAAGAGAGTATTACAGGAAATTCTTCAATCTATTAAATGATCTGCTTCTAAGGAAACACTTCAATGAAATCATTTCTATTGTCTCGATACAACAGAGATGATTGCATTAAATACAAACAGTAAATGTATTGGGCAGCTCTGACTCCTCCCTGAGGACAAAACTACACGGCTGTTAAAATTCTAGAGAAAACTCTCTTTTCTGACCTCCTGCACAGTTTTTTCCATGTTTCACTACAGAATACCCTCTGGCTGTAGAACAGAAATGTCTCCAACTTCACCAACATCTTGTTTCCTTTTTGACCCAGCTTATCTATAAAAGTATAGATGAATCCAACCACTCTGGTATATCTCCAAATTCTGAAAGTATCCTTGACTCCCAAATCACGATGCTAATTTAATAAGCACTGACAGCAGTTGGCACAAAGATCCTTCCTATTCTCTACAAAGCCTTGTAATTCACTAACTCTTTCCTCTGAGCCTCAGCTAAACTTACTCAGAATGACAAACAGCAATAAACAGGCTGAATTAGGTTCTCAAGGTGATTCCATCTACCTTCTCTTCCTGATGGGGAAACCCCATTAAAAAAACCCAAAAAACCCTCCCACTACATTTGTGCAGGAAGCCCAGCAGAAAAATAATGCCTAACATGTCCCCACATGGCCAGGTGCTTAGAATTGTAAACTATGTCTATATGGCTTGCAGGAAGGGTAACAAATGCAACACTTAGAAAGGAGATCAGTCTCACTTAGGCTAACAATAGTCTCATATTTTTCCATTAACTTTAAGAAATCCTCCTTTTCTCTGCATTTATTTGGACCCAGTTCACTCTCAAACTTTTGCAGTGTCCTTCAGAGGACTGTCTCAAAGAAAATGATTACTTCTCTTGTAGAGCCACCTGAGTTTTGTCTGCACAGATTCTCCTGTGCTTACCTTATCATTCAGACTTGTAGTCTTAAAAACTTTGAGGGATTTGATCCAGCTGACCTTGACCTCTCAGCAAGCTTCATCTACTTTTTTTTTTAAACTGCTAGAAGTGATGTAAATATTTTTTCAACATTTGCTTTCGCCACATGGAAACATGTGGTGCCATCTCCTCTTCTCATGTTGACTTCCCTCTTACCCCCATCCCCTTGCCCCAGGCTACTCAAACTGTAAAATATATCTGGGGGCTAATTATGCCAAAAGCACTGTACACATTTGAAGCTGCAGCCCTTACACAGTTGATGGGAGCTGAAGGGTACTTACTGATCTGCTGTTTGCTCTTTGTGACTGTGCAGACACAGGACGCTGCAAGAGACACACAAAGAGAATAAAAATCTTGTGTTCTCCAGGACACTATGATCCCTGCCTGAGTTGTTGAGGACTGGCAAGTACCCTAAACAAAACAGTACAAGCAAAGGGGGGTGAGGCACTGGAACAAGTTGGTCAGAGAAGTTGTGGATGCCCCAACTCTGCAACTGCTCAAAGACAGCTGGATGGGGCTTGAACAACCTGATCTAGTGGAAGGTGTCCCTATCCACTATTGCAGTGGAGATGGAATTTGATAATCTTTAAGGTACTTTCCAATCCAAAGCACTCTATGATAACTGAAGTCCAGAGAAAAAGCTAACCACTTATACTTTCCTCATATCCTGCAAATGTATCCTGTCCCCATTCTAAACACAGCACTCATTCTAAGCTCAGATGTGCTCAACTGTGCACAATGCATCTGAATATATGGTTTTCAAAAGCACACGGAACTCAACTATGATGAGCAAAATTCTTATTTTTGTAAAATAAGAGTCACCCATATTAGAATATTTAATAGCTATGCATCAAGAAGAAAGAGATGCTGTCAAGTAAAATTGTCTATAGAATGGGAAGGGGTGAGGGGGGAGAATCCCATAATTTTGCAAGTAATTTCATTTAAATACCTCAACAATATTCCAGTTCTAGTGGAGAAAAAAAAAAGATACTATTTAACATTCTAACACAGGTGTAGAAATACCAGAATGTCAAGAAGTACCCTGTATTACTTACCTGGTATCAGGCCTACAAGTAAAACCAGTTGAAGGACAGGGACAGGTTCAAAAGAAATCATCATCAGAACTTATAGTTCTCTTGCCTTCAGTGGTATTCAGGCTGTCTTCTCCAACACCCAAGAGGAACAAATGGTGGAAGAAAGGTCTCCTGAGAATCCATCTATCATTTCTAGCTGTACTACTGACAAGTTCCTCTCTACAGTTGGTCTACTCAAAACAGATCAAGGTCCCTCCATTGCTTAGGATTAATTGAAAGAGCTCCAATCCAAATCCACAAAAAGTTACAAAGGAAGCAGCAAAATTGTTCATTTCCCTAGAGGGAGAAATGCTCAAAGAGTCAAACCAAAGAAACTGCAAAGAAACTTACAGCCCAGTCCGGTGAAACTCAGAAAAGAGAGCAACCATCTCAAGATATCTATTCAAGAGAACTCTCAAGAGCACTGGTATCAACAGATCTTTTCCAAGCAGCAACTTTTACAATTATAAAAACAGCCTATGTGAATGATCAAAACTTAAGACATCACGAAGGTGGTAGGAAAAAACAAAAGATTACATATACCTTTTGCAACACAAAATTGTAACAGGTATCAAAAATCCAAAAATGAGGTAAAATGTATTCAGCATAACAAGCTAAAACATTCTGGGACATGGAAAGATCTAAACACCTAGCTAGCCATGGGATTACCACTTAGGAAAAAATGCTGTAAAACTTTATCACTGCATCACAAACCTGTTCCTGTTAAACATAGGTTAGTTAGAGGAACCACCCTAATCCTGTCTCATAACCAATGCACTGTCATACAAATCTTTGCAACTTTCAACTGGCCAGCCTTACATGTCTTTGTGGGTATTTTTTAAGCAAAACAAAGTTGAAAGCCTCCTTAAACTTCAATGCTTTACAACAGTATAATTTTCTGAGACTGTCTTGTAAAATTTTGTCAAATCATCAGGATCTGATGCCATTACTCTAATAAAAAAGGGTATTTTTTTTTGAATGGTTCCTAATTTCTCATGTACCTTTTGTCTGTTACAAAGAGCACCAACATACAGTCATTTGTATTTAAAGCATTATCACAATTGTCTTAGAAGTTTCAAATTTAGACATGCATCCTAAAGATGCTCAAAACTCATCTTACCAGCTATTCACTTCTCTCACAGTGACTAAAGACTCTTGAGTTTTACAAGAGATAAAATATTGCAATTTCTGTGAGCTTCCCTACACCAAAATGGACAGTGTCTTGGTACACTGAGGCTGAACAAAAATGACTTGTCATTTCCTAACTGAACTTGAGCTACACAGCACCATCAGCTGCAGAGATGTCAGAGAACACCATCTGCCTATTTGCCTGAGGAGAAATGTTGGAAGTCCAAGTGATGTAACAGATCTCCCTGCCTTTTGTGAATGCTCCATTTCCACAGATATTTATGAAATCCATTTCCTAGACAAAAAGAGATAGAGAACAATTGTCCTTCAAATTACAGTGCTGAGAAAGCACTACCTCAACAGAAAAGGCAAGGGGCAATCACAGCAAGACACATGAGGCCTCAGTCCAATGATCCATGGGAAAGAAAGTAGGATTCCAAAAGAGAATAGGAAAGAAGCCTTAAACTTCAAATGCAAGAAGTTTTTCACCCAGGAGAAGGTCTTGGAGACATTAATAAAGCTCCAGGGTTCTGTAAGCTTGTTGTCCACAACAAAATCAAAGTGGTTGAACAGCCCAGGACTCAGGTGTAGCCCCTGAGGCCCTGAGAACCACAGAACAGTTTGGGTTGGAAAGACATTAAAGGTTGTCTAGATCCAACTGCCCTGCCATGGGGAGGGAAGCCTCCACTAGACCAAGGTGCTCAAAGCCCCATCCAGCCTGGTCTTGAGCACCTCCAGGGCTACAGAGTTCACAAACTCTTTGGGCAACATGTTTCAATGCCTCACCAACCCTACAATTTAAAATTTCATCTTCCATAGTTATGCTAGAAATCCAGATAATCTCACTCACTGCCGCTCTCACTTGTGAGTCAAATTCTGCGAGAATTACTTCCTCCTATGCCAGGGCTTGTGAAAGTCACTTACCTGCAGCTTCTGGTATGGATTTCTTCTGACAGATTCAGATGAATGATAAATGGACCGGCTTGACCGCTGGCCTGGATCCTGGCATACAAAGCCTATGGGCACCAAGAGCCACATGAGAACTTTAACACAGACAAACCCCAAAAGATTAATCTAGCATTTCTGTTCACAGTCTTAATCTATGCATGACCTTCTTGTCCCTGCCCAAGGACCAATAAGGATCCTTTTCTTTTTTATACCTTGCTTTGTTTAATCCTAAACTGTAATTGCATTACATTTTTTGAACAAAAACTTGCTTCAAGATCAAGTACTTAAATCAACAAATGGGTTACTGAATAGCAGCACAGAGAAAGACTTGTTTTTTTTAAACAGCTGAGCAGGGTACCCGATGACAATTTTACTTCTTTCACTATTGGGGCAAATTGAATCAAGCAACTAAACCAAGATGCAAGGGACGCTGTGCTCTAGACAGTACTCCAATTCTAGCAACCCAACCAAAACCCACACATTCAACCTAAAAAATGCTTGAATGCTAACTCTGAAAGCTAAAGAGAGCAGTGTATTCAAATACCAAATTAGGAACTCTTAAAACCACCTAAGCATCGCAAACAGATGATTATTCTGAAGTTGAAATGTCCATATATCACTTCTCAGTGATCTATGCTGCTCTCCTTAACTAGAGTTCACATCTATTATACTCATCTAGTAACATGCAGCTTTATAAACCTACCTTTTGCTGGTTTTAAATAAGGGGAAGTTTGAAGGATTTTTTTGCTTCACTCACCTACAAGAGTGAACATATCTGAAAGCATGCTAGCTTTGATCTTCAGGTCCAAAGGAGCATCACTGTCACCACATGCAACAGAGGATAATAGGAATTATTTGTCTGGCATTGAATAAGAGGAATGCATCAGTATTCAGTTTATCTCCCAATACAGTTTCTTTGCCTTCTTAAAACAGGCAAAAACAAGAAGAAAATTAGGTGATTTTCACATACATAGGTAAAGATCAGAGAGCAATGGCTTAATCTGTTGATCTTTTTTCCACAGCTTTTAGTGTGCTAATGCAGACACACACAGATTTGTTTAAACTCTCCTTAGGGCTAGAAACATTTTCTTTGAATGTATGTATGTTACATTTCATGAAGTAGACAAAAGTTGCTGTTGTAGAATTCTTAAAAACCACTCTTCCACATAAAATCATAGCCAAGAGGCCTACCAAAATAAATCCTCAGCTTCCATTAGAGCATAAAGGTCAGCATAAGGGTCAAGTCAACACTCACTCTTTAGAAATTTTCTGATTAGAGTACTAGACTGAGCCCAAGAACTCCTCTACATACTCAAGTAAAGTGTAACTGATTGAACTCTGCTTGGACTCCAAAATCTAAAAGCTTCTATCAGCCAAGAAGATTGAAATCCAACACAATAGTCTGACAGATCTCCAAAATTTATCTATAATGACAGATTATGAAGCATTAACAGTGACGATGGAAGAGAAACAATTAAAAAGTAAATGGAATCCCAACTGGGCTCTTTCAAAACCTATTGCTGCAGTAAGTTTGTTTATCCAAAGGAAAAAAGCAAAGGAGTAGCCTCTCTGCCAATCAGCTGTGGAACAAAATCTGCAGGCACCATGAAATCATGCCCTCCTAGGACCACAAGTTTCAAGGACAACCATCTCCAGCAACAGTCCCTGCCTCATGTTAAATTGGGAATCACTTACCAGGCCAGTGATGGGGACAGGTTCACTTCCAACAGCCAGGGCTTCAGAGTGTCATCAATAAGGACATCAAAACCATATAGCTCTAAAAACACAGCAGACACTAAGTTCACCTTACTGCATCTTTAAGCATTCACAGAAGGTCCAACATTAGTTTCTACCAGGCCATTCCAATCTAAACTATATATGTTAAATCCAGCAAACTCTATAGAGATGAAGAAATAATAACATTCCTCAAGTGGCAATTTTCACTTCATCAAAACTAAACTTCTTCTGCCTTGGGAGGGGAGGGGGGGGAAAGAGAGGAACAAAAATATTAGGAAAGTATTATGTAGAAAAATAAAAAACTCTTCACTACCCACAAGTTGTAGTTCACACAGAACTCTAATACTTGCTTTCACATAGAATTGACACAAGCATAGCAGGTTCAATCTACTTCTTCCACTGGATCCTGGAAACAACAAAATTTCATTCTCCTTTCCACTTTTTAATCCCCTTATTAATTGTTCCAGTCAGCTAGAGAAAACCTTGCTTCTTTCAAGCATCAGCTCCTTTTCAATTATTCCTGTATGTTTTCTGCAATATCCCCATGGGGTTACAACAGACTTCTCCTAGGCAACTCCATCTACACAGACAACCTTCCATAACTTTTTAGCGTATTGATAGCTTGTTGCTTTGCAGCAAACCACAGCAGAAATATTTTTTCCTTAGTTTCTAAAACAATCATAACATACTACATCTGCTAGATGTGTTCTGCTCTATACTGCTCAGATTGAAGCCAGCTCCCTATTCCAAATCTGATTTTACTATTTCACTCTCTATACATATTTTCTCTAGGTTTGGAAAGAGTTGCAGGAAGGATGCTTCACAAATATGAGTGTAAATCAGAAGCTGGCATTAATGCAATTGCTTCTTTCAGCATTAAGAAATAGACTTCCTAATCATCAGGGCAACTTAAGCAATTTTTTTAAAACACCACAAAACAGGGTATTGGCAGAGAAGGATTTTCATTAAATTAAACAGTTCCTTAGTGCCTGAAATAAAAGCAGGAGAACTTCTTTGCCATGTTTCTTTCCCTGAATTCTGGCTCTGGCCTTTTGTCACCTGCCTGACATTGATGTCAGCCCTGGGGAGCTGGACTGCTTGACAAGCTCTTCCTATGCAGACAGCTGTGCAAAAGCTCATGCAGCTTATAATGGGAAGTCAATGAGCTAGGGTCAGGAGAGGCTTGGAAGGGGGGAAATGGCAGAGGAGTGAGCATGGCCTGCTCACTATTCTAGAGTCTGTAGCCAGTCATTGAATGGGAAACAACAGCAGAGAGTTAAAGAGTTGGTTCACTCCAAAGAAATGAGGCAGAATCTAAATTTTTTTTCTCTTGCCCTCCCAGACAGGAACAGCTGCAGTGGAGGGAAAAGGAGAAGGTGGGGATTTTAAGTGTAAACATTACCAAAGCACTTTGACCGGGAGAACCTTCTGATGACTTTGATACATTATATTAAAATACAGTCTCAGGTTTGGTGAAGACCCATGACTATTAACAACACAGAAAACTCAGCAGCTCATGCCCAAGGCAGAGAAGCAATGAGTGGGCCTGCAGCAGCTTCTGGTCTGCAGCCTCCAGCCCCAGCCAGGAAGAAGTGCACTTTGTTTTGACTAGCTCCTGCTTCTTTTGCTGCTGGCCATTCCCTTCCTTGGCCCCCTCGGAGGCCCTTTCCTAGTGTTTTGGCTCCTCTGACTTTTTCCTCCTCTCCCACACAATTCTCTTGCAAATTGCTCGCTCTTTAAAGCTCTATCTTTCCCGCCCAGTTAGTCATTCTGTCCACTTTTTCAAATACACATGGGAAACCTTTCAACCTCAGCTAGCTCTAACCACTCTGCTGGAGCTTCACATTCCTTTCCCTTGTGTCTGCCTTATTTATTAGGACAGTAAGTTCTTCAGGGTATCCCTGTTGACTTAATTCCATTGTTAAACACGGATTCTAAAGCCACTTGCAATGACTTAGGGTCTCCTAGGAAGTCTCCACTGTTGCTCCATAATGCCCCAAGTCTCACATATTCTGAGAAGTATCTACAAACCCTAGACAGGTATCTCTGCTGCCTTAGGGCATCAGGAGCTGCATAGCATCCATGTGCTGGCAATTGAATCAAGCCTCCCAGATTCCACAGAGGGCTTAGCACAAAGATCTGGTCAACAGTCAGAAGTTTACCCAGAAATATCTTGCTGACCCTCTTTCACATTTGGAAAATGTACTTCCTGGATAAAACACAATAGTCACAGTACCCTTTCCACTCTGAAACTCAATTACCACTTGATAAAATAAATACACAGGCAGGACAAAGATACAGAGTCACACAAGCATAGGATAATGCAAAGTATATCCTCTGCAATTACCAGCTTCAGCAAGGCTGCCACTTCCCTTTGCAGGGAGAGTAAAGAGAACAATGAAAGAGCAAAACATGCTTCACACTGTGGCAATGGCAGGTTCAGGACAAGCCACCTAGTACCACTATTTCTACTAAGGGAAGAACAGAAGAAACTGAAACCAAGTTTCCATAGTGCCTTCTCTTGCTACTATAATCCACAAAAGCACGTTCCACCCCTACGGTGTGTTAAGGAGTGGAATTATATCAGGAGGTGCCAATTGTTTCCAAGACTCAGCAGGAAATCCTCCTCCAATCCCCACAGAGAAGTCACTGCTGACGGAGTTTCCCACTCCCAAAAGAAAGCCTAGCTTCAGTGCACAGTCTAACAACAAGAGTTCAACCAGAGATTTTTTTGCCAATGACGTTATCTAAGACTAAGACAAAGGCTAGAGAGATAGTTTCAGGCTTTTTGGTTCTGATAAACTCCCATGTATTCCAAGTTTATCTTACAATCCTCTCCAAGACTGCACCAGCACTCTCTTTTACAAAATATCCCCAAAGAATTTGTTATTCTCTGTAAGTACAGAAACTAAATCACAAGCGATAGCACAGTAGCATAAAGAAACTTTTCATGATTTTGCACAGCATGAATTAGCTCAATTCCTAAAGTGTCACTGTAATTCTGGTCTGTCTTTGCAGCTTGTTCCCTGGATTTAAAAAAAGCTTTACTGCAAAGTACATACTCTACAATTCAATTGAGACAACCTGAAGTTGTGAAGGGACACAAACAGTGGGGAAAAAACATTCATAGCACATAACTCTTTATTGATATTGCAATAAAACCCCATCTCCTCATTTTATGTAGGAGCACATTTACAGACATTTCTAACACAAGAAAATTTTGCCACTGAAATTCAAGTCTTCCATTTTTCCTTTCTTATATTAAGGTTTAATTCCCTTTTTAAGAGAACTTAATTTTAACAGAAAAAGGTTTTATTGTCTATATTTTTACAGAAAAGGACCCCACAAGAGGGGACAAGTAGCTCCAAGGCTAACATCAAAGAACAGGAGTCTTGGTGCAAACTCGGCTGCCTTTATAATCCTAATCTTACTGAGTAAATAAATTCTCACTCACAAGGCAAAAACTTGTTCAACCCAGTGTGTGATTCCAGAGTGAGCAAAGATGTTAATATTCCAGTAACCACTTTAGGACAACACTTAACTTCCCTTCCAAACTGAGGAACGTAAGAGTAGATATGTAGCTACTTCATCCTCAACAAACTCAAGTGCCCAAATTAACAAAATACAATATTAGGCAGACCAAAATAAAAGCCATCTGACTCTATGGATGGATACAACAAGTGAAGGATAAAGAGAGCGTGTTTCCCAACCTCATTAGCCCAAGTTTTTCTGATTTCAAGCTCTTACCCTCCAAGAACCTCAGCCCCAGAAAAAGCCATGAGACAAGAATAACCTGTGGTGTTCCTCACTTTGATGTCATCCATCTGGTGAAGATCCTAATGCCACCACAAGAACCAGTGGCAGTAGAAGACAGAATGACAAGCCAGGGCTGATTGTGACTTTGGTAACAGAAGTCCATTGATGATAAATTGACAGTGCTGGTCATTTCCTAAGTCTCCCCAAAAACAGCCATAAAAGCTTTTTAGGTCTGCTCCAACCTTCTGAGAAAGAAAAATAGTGCTACCAAGCTGAGAACAACTTCCTAAAAGAAACAAACTTTCTGCAGCAACAGGGATTTTGAATCTTTCAACCAAGCTCTGGGTACTAAATCATCAATATCAGATGGGTACCATTCAGAGCCACAAAGTGACAAATAAGAAAAACAGTGCAGGGATAGACCCCCCATTCCTATAGAAGCTATAACTAGAAGACCTATTCCTTGAACTCATTTTACCCTTCACACTCAGCTGACAGTTTAGTCAAATTTGAAGATACAGTTACATTACAAAATCTATCTCACCCATCAGATCATCAAAACACTTGCCAAGAAGGGAAGAAGGGTACAGGCCTCCTGAATCTGCTTGTAGCCAAAGGAGTCCACAACTTCTTTCAGATTCCAATGGCATCTTTAAATACTGGCTTCAAAGCAAAGACTGATGCTAAGGCTATAAAAATAGAATGGATAAAGCTTTGTAAAAAAAAGTAATAGTAGGAAATCCCTGTTCAGCTTTTCTGTGACACCTCACCCATCAGATCATCAAAACACCTGCCATGAAGGCTACAGGCCTCCTGAATCTGCTAGTAGCCAAAGGAGTCTACAACCTCTTTCAGATTCCAATGGCATCTTTACATACTGGCTTGAAAGCAAAGACTGATGCTAAGGCTATAAAAATAGAATGGATAAAGCTTTGTAAAAAAAAGTAATAGTAGGAAATCCCTGTTCAGCTTTTCTGTGACATGTCATGTAAAAAACTACAAAACATAGGAAATAAGTATGGTATATGCATGGCTGACTTAAGTCACTAATCATAGACTCACCTCACATCAAGTAAGTACGTACAGAAATTCCTTAAGAACCTCAAGTTTTTAGTGCCCTGGAAAACTCATAATGGAGCAGGTCAGCACTGTTGAGAACTACAAAAGGCTTCCCCTAAACAGCTCAACTGCCACCACTAAGAAAGCTGTTTATGAAGAACAGCAACATAGGCAGTTGAGAAACTGGTGATTCGGCACAAATGAAGACTTTTTAAAGCATTTAGCTCCAGATCAGCCCCACTCAAGTCATACAATAGTTTATTGTTTGCTTTTATCTCAATATAGATGTGAATAGAAGCAAAAGCCTGGCCAATTCAGCCTTAAGATACAGAAGCAGCTAAATAAGAAACTCGTTGCTTTGGTGGGATCAGTACGCCCATTACCCTATCCTGGCCTGCCTTCTTGATTGCAGACAAGCTCAACAGTGTCACAGTTGTCTAGTGGGTTTACTAGAATGTAAATGAAACAAGAGGACTTCAATTTATTGCTTCTTTAGGCTCACATTTCAGTGAGTGCAGAAAATGGTGCTACCTGGCTGCTGGCAAAAATACGTGCTGCACCAGCCACCTTCATTTCCTACCCTACTAAAGCACCACCCAAGAGAAATTTTTCATTCTGCCTGAAAGCTGGCCTTACTGCCCCTTTCTAGCCTACCCAGAGGTGCTTACTTCAGGAGGGAGAAAAACACAGTCTGTAATCAGCTTGGGCACATGCAGCCCTATTGTACCTCTTGTTCCCACAATGATATGTCACATCCCTCAAGTAAGTGCAAAATCTATCCATCTTTCTCTTAAAGAAGGCTCCAGAGGTAACCATTGACTCAGCTGGTGTCCAGCTTTAGGACAGTGCAGTGATCTGGAGAGTTGCAGCATGCCCCCCTCTGGAATTACTTATTTGTTAAAACAAATTTTACTAGGAGCTTAATTTTACATAAGGAATTATTAGCTAATTACAAAGAACAAAATGGATGATTGGGATCACTTTGTTAATAACAGTACAAGAACAAGGCAACAAAATCAAATAGTACTTGCAGTGCTTCTGTGATGCACTTAAGAGGAACAAAACTGAGCATCCCAAGTCCTTTGAAAACTGATTATTACTAGAATGCAGTAAATAGCTCACATTACACGGCCAAAATGGAACTCACTCTTTACACAAGCTGTCACCACCACTCTGTTTTGACATTAGAAAAAGGACTATCCTGACCTAGCATTCTCTTTCTAGGCATGCATTGGTAGCAGGAATCAGCCTGTCTCACCAGTCTCAGAAAATGAAGAAGCCATGAATAAACTCCCTTCCTTTAAATCCAGGAGACAAGTACATTACATATAAAAACACTTACTTGTGAAAGAACTGAAGGACCACTGCAGTACTAATCAATTAGAGAGATAAAATGGGCAAACTCATCTGGACAAAAGTACTTGTGATTTGATTTTTTTAGGAAGAAAATGGCATTTGTACAGGAGTTCTATTCCCTATAACAGCATTACAAGCACTAGAGTAGAATACAACTTAGTTATATTTTTTAGAAGTTTTCCAAACAAGACCAATCTCTGCATCTGAATTTCAGATAAAGGTTTCTGAAGTCTGAGATACTTTTCACATGATCAACCCTCCTCAGGAGACACACTCAGTTTCATTGTTCACAGCTCAGAATGGAAAAAAAAAAAAAAAAACCACCACCAAAAAAAAGGCTCTTGTCTGAGACTCAACGTGCTGCCTTGAAATCTTTGTTCGCAGTTTTCTCCTTCATGCTAACAGCTATGAAATGAACCATTATGACCACTTCCAGATAGAAAAACTGAATTATTTACAAGGTTAAAAGTCATACAACCAAAAACTGTCAGAACAAGACACACAGATGACAAATGAACCATACAGCAAGATGGAAGTTCAAATCCTTGAGACAACGACCACCACTTAATTGTGGGGGAAGGTGGCAGAAAGTACTGAGCTCTGGAAATGCCTAAGTCTCCCCAGGGAAGCAGTATGGCTCCTACTTAAGCTCTCTTTCCTGGGAAGCTCTTAATTTATGTTTACACTGAAATAAACGGAACAAAACAGTTTATTTGTGGGGGAGCATCTGAGAGGGTGGTTAGTGCAACCCTGGGGAGGCAGCAGGAAGTGGGATAACCTCAGAGCCAGGCCCAGCAGAAAGTACATGAGGAGCATTAGTTTCCATATACACAGCTCTAGAGACAACTGAGGAAGGAAAAGAGAGAAGCCAAAAAAAGAGGCAGCTAAAGTGGTTTTGACATGTCTTTTTTTCAACTAGCCAATAAAGTGCCATTTCACTGAGACTATTATCTAACTCATAAATCCCCATGTATGACCAGGTCCTTCAACTTTGAAGGAATCAGAACTAGGCAGGAGAAACTATGGTGGGAGAGGTAGTTAGTTTTGGGAGGTAACTAAACAACCTATCAGTCGTGGCTCCTTGATTCCTGACTGTCTTATCACCCTCAAATATTCAAAGAGGCATTTATGCTGCAGTGTTAAAAGCTGCAGAATTGTCACTATCTAAGTGCAACTCAAGGACCACATAAAGGGATTTGACCTGTCATAGCTAGTTTAAATGTAAGTTCCAATACTTAAACATAGGATAGCCTAAGCCAAGCTTGGCCTTTGGTTTGAGCACTGAGACTTGATCTTCGTGCTTGCATCCACACGAGTGAAGGACGGCTAGGAGCAGGAGGAGGCCTCTTTAGGGAAGGTTGGGAAGCAGCCACTGGAAAGCGGGAGAAGGCACACTGTGGTACCAGCCGCTGCCTTCTGGAGCTCGTCCCAGCGTGTGCTGGCGCGGAGCTCCGCGGCGCCGCTGCCAGCGCGGAGCGGGGCGCGCAGCTCCGCCAGGAGCGGCCTCGGCCGCCCCCGCGCGGCGCCCCCGGCACCCCGGGCACGCACACGCGGCTCCTCCCCACCCGCACAGCACCAGGAACACGCAAAACTACACTGCCAGGTGGCTCGAGAGAAAATAGGAAGTGCTCTAACAACGTGTTTAATCACCCACAGCCATTCTTTGCAAGGACACTAGTAAATCACGACCTTTCCAGCACTTCCCCAAGTTCCCTCTGAAGTCCTTTTTCATCATTCTGTTTTCATTTTCTTGCATGAGACTCTGATCAATGGTGACACAGGGTGAACTGAGATTCTATGCCCCCTGCCCTCACTGAGGCTTATGCTAAAGAAAAAAAAAACCAAAACAACCAAAATAGTATCCAGCTTTCTTACACTAGGGAATGCATATTTCTCTCTAGCATGACAAAGGCAGAGGTTCCAAACAGTACTCAACAGGCAATCAACAAAGATGTCCCCAGCGTCTTACCAAAGCAGCTGCCACGATGTGAAAGAAAACTTTTACAAGCTGATGCAATGGACGGCTCAGCAGAAACTAGAGTCTTGATAATCAGGTCCTCCACGTTGGCCATCAGTGCTGCAAGGAGGGGAGGGGGGCAGAAGGAAAAAGAAAAAAAGCAGATTGTGAAGTAACACATAATATCCAGGAAGGCATGAGAATATGCATATGGAGATAGACCTTTGTGACTCAAAGCAATGATGCTTGGAAATCCATGCAAGCCTAAGTAAATAGACATGCATAAGTATCCTAGTGCAAAAATACTCACAAATGAGAATGTGAAAATGATAAATGTCAGTATATGTCCAGTGCAGGTAAACAAACATATGGCAAACACACCAGCACAAGTCAGCTGGAGTCTGACCACTGCCTACTCAAGAGTATTAGGATTACACAAGAGTTAGACTAGAGTGGGTTAGTGAGATAAGCCCTCAAACTACAGAGAATAAGCCATAGCACTGAGATATAAAAATTTTTATTGTGAACTTTTATGAGATAACTGTTCTGTGACACTGCACCTTCCTCTAATGCAGCTGTCCCATACCAAAGTTCATAAATCTTTTCAAAATTTTAAGACCGGTGCCAGCTCCCAGTCCTGCTGACCTATAGATAGCCCATAGTATGAAAGCACTCTCCAGCTCCTGCATGAGCCTGTGAACAGAGCTCAGGAACAGGAGTCTGAGAAGACAGAGGAAGCAAAAGGCAAGAAAAGATGTACATTAGACATAGACCTGGATTCTACACTGGACTTGGGATGAGTCATGCAACAGAAAGAACACCACGCTGGTTTTGTTTTCAAGGACAAGCAATAGCAAAGTGAGAGAAGGGAGAAATGAACAAATACTGGAATCATAGTCTCAGAAGTTAATAAAGATGAAAGGACAACCTCCCCCACCCCTCAAAGGGAGGGCAAGCAAATCCACAGACATCTGGCAACCCGTGCTTCAAAGAGTATCTTCTAGAAACCACTTGACTAGAGAGTTTACTTTAGGTCTACAATTACTACTTCTCATGCTCAGATGATGACATGCAGGGACCTGAACAATTACAGAAAGAGCATGCAAGCAAATTCAGATGTGAACTTCTGTACCAGAAAACAACTAAGTGGAACCAACACAGCATGGAAACATCCCAGCACACATAAACAACCCAGAGCACAAAAACCCTGCCAGCCCAGACAAGGCCAGCACTTTTCAGCCAGCATTCTGCCTCCCTATGGCCAGAACCAGATGCATCAGAGAAAGGTGCACGTCTTGTAATAGATAAAGAAATCTGCTTGCATTGCTCAGTAGTTTAATTATTAAGAGTGTATATTTTATACTTGAGGTTGGGGTGAGGTGTGGAGATATATTAATAATAATTATTACATATTCACAGCTGGCTGAACACCTGTGGTGCAAGGGATTGGACAGCCATGCACACACATGATGGAAAAAAAGTCTACTTCCATCTGAAAGCCAGATTCAAACCCCTTTCTCCAACATTTGAGTGTTCCTTGGCAACATTTGCAATACGGGCCATAGCTGCTATCAGTAATTTTACTGATGCCTCAGTATCACAGGTAAACTACCCCTTAAGGGATATACCTGGATTCTGCTCTGCAGATGCAGTTACTCCCAGCAGACCTGGCAAAGGTGTGGAAGAGGGAGCTATTTTATATGAAACACAGACTAAATGAAAACACCCAGCAAAAACCTGAGCCATGGAAAGATGACACCACATCCAAGAGTCATTCAAATTGGCACAGCTGTCCAGAGGTTGGTCACTCATCAGACTGAACAGGCCATGGGAGCAGTAGAGGGAGGGAAGCTTTTAGAAGGAATGGAATGACCTTAAGAAAGGGGAAATGTAGGTAAAATATTAAGAAACACACCCTGAGAAAGTCTCAGAATACTAGTTGCAAAAAGGAAGGGGTTAGGCCTTATCTCTGGGGATAGGGAAGATATGCACAGGTCTCATGAGTAAGGAACAATGCTTCCCTCCACCCTGCTCTGGTGCTAAATGGGACTCACTGGGGGTCTTCCTTCTTAGAACTCACACTAGTGAGATGATCAAGATCCAACAAAGCAATAACAGAACAGGATTTTTACTGACCTGCAGTGTCTCTCCCCTCTTGTTTTAAGTACCTCAGCATTGCACTCATGCTCCACTTGTTTCCATAATCCTCTACTTCAGGATCATCACAGCTAAAAATAAATGAAAGAAGGAGATTCACACCACTGGCCCACCTCTATGGATCAGCATTAGACCCACTCAGGTAAACTGACCCAACCTCTAGAGAACACATTCCATTTTCCAGCTAAGTACCTGACATAATCTCCACTCTTCTTGTTAACACTGTAGTTAGTCAGATGCATGAACTGGTTTTTAATGTTCTTGGATGCCTGGTCATACCTCACTGTAGCAAATCTGTGAAGAGGAATAAAAATTCACAGTATTTCTTAAACAAGTGGCATTCTTGCTGAATACAGCAAGCATGTCACTACAAATTACAGACCACCACACAGACCACTCAACAGAAACACTCAGGGAGAGAAAGCATGTAGTGAGACTTCAAATGCAAAATAGTTTATCCTCAAAGGACACATCAAGCAAAAAATAATGTCATAGAATGTGAATATAATGCAATAGAATAGTTGCAGCTGGAAAGGAACTACAATAGTAATCTAGCCCAACTGCAATAATTTTCTTACACTACATGTAATCCATATTTTAGGTCTCTTAGACTTTGGAGAAAAATCAATTTTAAAAAATTGATGGCAGAATCCAGAGCATCTATTAGGTAGAATGACCAGTGTGATCCACTGATAATCACTGCAGCTTATCACAGCAAGCATGTTCCAGTTCAAAAAACCCCAACTACAAAAAAACAACAAGAGAAAAAAAAACCTTCACTCTGACAATCCTCCTGTACCACAAGAGCTTAAGATGCCAATGTCTCAAAAGAAGTAAGGGGAGTAAGAAAGGATAAGGGGAGAGTCAAACACATGCTACCCAAAGAAGCCCCAGAAAGAGGAAAAGTATGTACCAAGCACAGCAGAGTTAGCTGCATAAAAAGAGGAGTAGATATGGGGTAAGCCTCAATGCAGGAAAAAGGAGACAGGATTCTGGAAAAATGGAAGAGTGAGAAAAATTGGATCATCTGGTTATGCAATGAAATAATGTTCAGAAAAGAATGCATCTCCAATTTTTTTAACTAATAGTCATCTCTCTTCATCATTCCCCAATTCTTTCCCATAGCTCAGAAGAAGCTGAACTATACAAAGACAGCTAACAAGTTACCAAAAAAAAGCAAAAAAAAAAAATCCCCAAAAAACCCCCAATCCTCCCTTTAGAAAGAACCGCCAAAAACCCAAAGACCTCATTTTTCAGTGAAAACTATGCCATTACTGCCCTCACTTGGTAGCCATTTTGAGAAATACCTGCTGCCATAAGAACTACACCAGCAAATCCATGAAAATTATTAGACTTATCCTAAAACACACATGTGGAAGCAAGAGGGAAAACAAACCCCCCATGATATAACTAATTTTAAGTGGCGAGGTTAAAACAGTGAAAAGTATTTTTGCACTATATTTTTCTCAGCTTTAACTATGTACAAAGTCAGAGCAGCTGGCAACAAAAGCATTTGGAAGTTTGGATCCTCTTTCCACATATTTCCACAGCTTCAAGTATTTGAATTTCTTTTCAGTTTAACTCTAAGTTTCCTGGATTTAGCACTTCTGTTTTGAAAACAGTGACAAAAGCCCTGTCATATATTTGGTTCTTATTTATTATTTCATCATCTCCATCTTACTGGCAGCATACTAGAAGTATTTGTTGAAATATATTTTCGGCCAGATCCTGAAAGACACTGAGCACAGAGAGCCATTTCAAGCCTCCCTTGGTACTTCCAAGGAGAGGGGAATTGGGTTCACCATGCTTTTCAGCTTATGCTTTTAATTCTTCATCCTCAAATAAAAGAATAGGAACCCCTGACAGACACAGACAATACTCCAAAAACAGTATTTCTGTACCTTCAAATGCTTGCATTTGCTTCCTTCTACAGAGACCATCCTTAATTATTAGGGTAGTCTGAGCTCCACGCTCAGAATTTTACATTCCCATGGGGACTGCCTATTCAGAAGATATTTCACTGTGTTCCAGAGCTCCCAGTACCTAAGCTTTCTCTTTTGCTAGGATGCTATCATCTTGAAGGACATCATGGGCAACTTCAGCAATGCACCAAAAACCTCCAAAACATTAAATTACTCATATCTACTATCTAAAAAGCCCAAGCTTTAAACAACATAATCCAGTTCTTAAGGCATTCATGCAGAGCTGGTTTGACCAGCTTCATGCTAAGTGCAGGTCTGCAAATGGAAAATCCAAGCTATTTCTAGAGCTTCTATCAATAGCTTCTGGATGCCAGAGCACTAACAGATCAGAAGTACAGTGCAAGCAAACAGCCCACACTCCTTACACTTTTGTGTTTTGCACTCGCTTGAGATGGAAGAGTGTTACTACCTCTGAAATACCAGCCACAATTACCTTCAGTACTCTACAGCTTTTCAGAGTATGTTTACTGTATCTTTCTGCCCCTGTAGTAACTATGCTGTTCACAAACACTCCTTCTCCCCAGGAAGGAGAAGATACTTGCAGGCTACAGAATGTCCTTCTTCAGCAGAAATTTACCACTATTTTAGAGAAACCAAGGTCATAGGAAAAGGCCTTACAGGAATAGTGAAGAATAGAAAAACATTGCTTGTAAAATTTTTCTAGGTGTTAACCTGAAATTAGAATAAACTCCAGAGGAACCTTACAATCTTTTAGAAGATTACTTCATTTAAGGGCAACGTTCTTTTCCAATTTTGTTCTGGGCCACTACTAAGAATAGAATATATGTTACTTAAAGATAAGGGTCAAGATCCTAAAAGCAATTCAAAAACTATATGCTAAGCAGGGACAGAAAATAAAGAGCAAGCCTCATGTTTTCCTAGTAACAGAACTTACCACAAGCATATGCTGCAATATTCTGCATGAACTATTTTTCTAAACACTGAAGGCTTCATGCCCAGGTGTCTCATATTGCTATAATCCAGCCAAAGAGTGATGAAGGCACAAGTACGTGAGTCCAGATCACCATCTGCCAGGACAGGACTGTTTCTGAGCCAAAGAATTACTCGTGGATGCTGCTATGTGGGAGCCTGCAATCAGACAGGAATCCAAGAGAACTCCTAAACCAGAGGCTGGACTGTCCACACGTGGAGGCCCACCTTCAGCCAAAAAAAACTATTTTATCAAGGGAAACTCCTCTAAACACTAATCTTCTGCTTACAAATACCATCTCTTCTTACCCTGCTTCAAGCAACTGTCATTTTCCCCCACTGTGGTCTGTTCCTGTCCAAGTTCTGAACTACTCCATAGGCCTTGCAACACAGACTCACACTTAACAGGCATTGCTGATAAATGTGTGTGTGGGCTGAGTGGTTCAACAATTAGATTCACATTGCTTTTAATTCTTACATAGAATTTTGCTGTAGGACTTGTCAAGCAGGAAAAAACCTAGGAAAAGGTAAAATTTTCCACTACTAGTCAGACAGGAAGGTTTTCTGCTACTTCAGTGCATTCTTCTGTCCCCACTTCATCTAAACCAGCAGTTCTTATTGTTAACAATGTGAACATTATGCAGGTAGCCAAGAAAGGAATGAGTGTCTGCTCTGTATCCACCATCAGAGAATATCAACTCTGTTTTGGCCTGAATACAGATTTGCTTTCTCTGTAACACAAGTTCTAACCACCAGTTTTCAAAGTTGAATGACTGAACCTTCTTTCACCTGCCAAAGTACTTGGAGAGGGTGCAGGAGAAGAAGATGCAAGAGGAATGGTCCTCTCTGACAGCATTAACCTGGGTCATCTCTGAGATATGTATTACACAGAGGTAACACGGTTCACAGCAGCAAGAATACAGGAAGCACTTCCAATGTCCTGATGTTATGTATTGCTTGCATTCACTGTTGAAAATTAACTCCAAGTGACACTAAAGACACTCACTTTCATGAACTTGTTTACCTGGACTTACTGCAGTCCCATCCTCCCAAAGATCCTCTCCTTCTAATGAATCTTGTCATTTTAATGTCTGAGGAAAGGACTAAGTTCAGAAAATTTAGGATACATTCTAACATAGTGGCATACAAGAGATTAGATTCCAAAAGCCTCTAAGCAGAAATATAATAGGAGAGTTTCTACCCCAAAACTACAGCTGGAAAAGAGGAAAGGTTAAACTGAGGTTGTCTGTGCATTGTTCAGTTTCCACACAAACTGCTGCCTGTCATACAGCCTCCCAGGCAGAAGTAGCTGCAATCATACTGGGAACAGCCCTGGCAGCCTCCCTCCCTTTCACTGCAGCTTCTCTTTCTCCAGCAGAACAGAGGAGATGCCCTTCATTTCTGAATTCAAAGCTTAGAACAGAGAAGTGATACTCATACATTCCACTGCTCTGACACATCTGCTCGTGTCTCAGCTGATCACAGCCAAGTCACACAGGCACACTGCAGCCTGGATGAAGGCAACAACCCAGTCTCTATACCAGCAATGACACACTGCTACACAGCTCACCTTCCCCAACAGCACATTTCCCTTCCCTCTGGCTGGACTTCATCTTGGATCAGAGAGGAAGAAAGAACAATCAAAAGCAAGCAGAAGGGTGGCAGTAGCAGCAGCAGGTAGCCTGGGCAGCACAAAAAGAAAATTAAGGGAGAAATCCTCACTAAATCCTTCAGACTCCAGAACTACTCTCAAACCTCTAGACTAATAGCATAACATCTAGAGACATCCCAGCTCTCTACCTCCCTGTCATGTTTCAGGTTCAGCTTTGGTATTCACACACTGACAGATTTCAGTCTTCCTCCCCTTTATTGTGAGAGTTCATTAAAGGCCTAATAACCACACTTAAGTTCTACCTGCAATACATCACCTTCTCTACAAGTGCCATGCAAGCTTTTTCCCTGCTCACCTAGCAGTCTACAAAACACGTCAGAGCTGACACTGGAAAGTCCCCAAATCCACCACACAAACTTTGGCCCCTAACCCACATCCCTACACTTCCTTAACCTAAACAACTATCCTTCTACTGTCACAATTTTAGGCAGGACCTTACCCAAGGGATTCTACAATGCTCTTTGCCTTATCTCCAGCATTACTTCAGGAAATGAATTAACCACAAGGTAAAGTTTGCAAGTCATTTCAGAAACATGTAAACTGGATCATTAAATATTTACAGAAGATGTTACATGGTTTTGCATGAAACTTGACAGCTCTGGAATGCTTATTTGAGGCATCTAGTCAGCCTGGGAAAAGAGGAGGAAAAAGGAAAATACTCGAGTGGGAAGAAGGAAAGAATAGTTAATCCCTCTTCTCTCAAATGAGTT